GTAGTAGTAGTAGTAGTCGTAGTAGTAGTAGTAGTAGTAGTCGTAGTAGTAGTAGTAGTAGTCGTAGTAGTAGTAGTAGTAGTAGTAGTGGTAGTAGTAGTAGTAGTAGCAGTAGTGGTCGTAGTAGTAGTAGTAGTAGTAGTAGTAGTAGTAGTAGTAGTAGTAGTAGTAGTAGTAGTAGTAGTAGTAGTAGTAGTAGAAGTAGTAGTAGTAGTAGTAGTAGTAGTAGTAGTAGTAGTAGTAGTAGTAGTAGTAGTAGTAGTAGTAGTAGTAGTAGTAGTAGTAGTAGTAGTAGTAGTAGTAGTAGTAGTAGTAGTAGTAGTAGTAGTAGTAGTTCTAGTAGTAGTAGTAGTAGTAGTAGTAGTAGTAGTAGTAGTAGTAGTAGTAATAGTAGGACAGCTACAGGTATATGAACAGCATGGGACGCGCATGCAACGACTATGGTGCGCATATGAACCGTAAATCAGTCTTACACGATGCGTGCATGAAACATCAATGCAGAGCACACGGGGAGGAAGTATGTAGGACACGCATGTGTCTGGAGCTATGCTTGTATGGAACTATGTGGCGTGACTGTGGCCCATCGCCTTCAAAGTTGCTAGGGGGTGCCCAGGGAGCACCTTAAACGCTGCCAGGGTGCGCCTTTAAAGCTGCCAAAGAGCGCCTTGAAAACTGTTGAGGAGCGCCTTAAAGGCTGCTACGGAGCGCTTTGAAAGCTGTTAAGGAGCGCCTTGAAAGCTGCTAAGGAACGCCCTAAAAGCTGCCAGGGGCGCTTCAAAAGCTGCCACGGGGCGCTTTCAGAGCTGCTAGGGAGCGCAGCAGAAGCCGCCAAGGAGCGCTTCACAAACTGCTCAGGAGCGCTTCAGAAAAAGTCATGCAGCTTCGACATCTTCACTATCTTCAGAACCCACAACCGGGGCATGGACCCGTTCACCTGGGAATGGACCAGTCCACCTGGAAAATGACTTTTTCCTACTCCTCTTCCTCCTCCTCCTCCTTCTCCTCCTCCTCGTCGTCCTCCTCCTCCTCCTCCCTCTTCCGTCGGGGGGGGGCGGGGGCCGCGGGCGCCACGCGGCCGAGGTGGCCGCCAGGCGACCTCGCGCCGATCCGCGAGCTGCGCCCCGAGCTCGGCGAGGTCCCGTGGCCGCTGCCCCGCCTCTCGCCCCTCTCGCTTCTGCGTTGGCGATTCGCTACCGGAAAATAGTGCACAGAGCCCGTGCTGTGTGCACAGGCGCTGTGGGCTTGGGCGGCGACGACGACGACGACGACGACGACGACGACGACGACGACGACGTAGGCGGCGCGCCGCAGGGGGTGCGCGCCGCGGCCCCAGTTACCGTTACCCCCCCCTCCACGCCATCTCTCTCCCCCCCCCCGCGTAACATGCGCTACCCCCCAGAAATTAAAGCATGGTTTCGAATCATCGGAGCCTCGTGCACCTTCGCAGTTCAGTTTTTCGAGTGCGTCAGCGTCGATGAGCGTTGGGAAATCGATGAGGTAGCGCAGATCTGGTGTGTCGAATCGCGCCAGCTTGCGTCGAAAGCGCCGATGTAGCGTTGTTTCGCGTCGGCTGACGCCGACTAGCGTCGATTCGCAAGTGCCACCAACATGGTATGGGAGGCTTCAACGAGTTGCCACTGAACTCTCCCGCTCCCGCCCCTAGTCCCTCCTTCGCGTATAGTGATATGGTCGGGGATTGGGTTAGCGTGTCGCCACGCTGGTTCTGGCCCACCACCTCTCGGCGCGACGCGCTATCCACTTCCCAGTCTCGAAGCGTCCACGTCCCGAGTTTGTCCGAGGCCCCGCCCCGCGGAACGGAGCCACACGCTATTCGCTCGCAGGGCACAGCGTGTCGCTGTGGCCGCCGTGGCGACACGCTATGCGACAGTTCCTGATCGTAGTGCTATTGTATGAAGCTGCTGATTGAGCCATCGGGGATGTCCTCACCACGCGCTTCTCTCTTCTCTCGTTTCCTTCTTCCTCTCCTTTCCTATGCGGCGCGCTCGCACATGTTTCAGGCCACGGTTTCGCGCAGGAGTTTGCCTATCGCAGGTCGGCTCGCGCGGTGTTCCCGTTTGCCTAGCGGCCTCTTGACTCGCACAGCGCTCGGGGCCAAGCCGGATGACGCTCTGTGGTCGCGCTCCTCCCTCCGTCTCGCAAGCGAAAACGGTCGAGGGAATCAGCTCGTGGACACTTCCCCGCCCCCCTAAGCTCAGAGTTGGCACGCGCGGGGAGGACTGCGGTCGAAGTGTGACTCATCCAACCCGCCGCCAACGTTGATCATCGGGGGGGAGGGGCATTGACAGATGAATGTGGCATCGAGTGTTCGCGAAGTTCTTCCGAGGCCCGTGTGCAGAGCCGTTGGCGCCTGTCCTTCGTGGGCAGCCCGGCCCTGCGGTGAGGGGGGCGGGGTGCTCCCTGGGTATCCTCCGTGGGCCGCGCGGCTTCGGCCTCTCATGGTCGAGGAGCGGGGGGGGGGCGTCTGGCACCTAGAAGTAAA